ACCTAAGTTTTTCTTTAAAATTCACATGAGTTTTCCTTGAGTTATTTATAATGATCTCTTATTTAAAATAAGTCAAAATGCCTTTCACTCACTAACTCTCTAACATTATTAAGCTAAATTAAAAATGGATTCCTAGAATTTGCTAGATGTTTGAATTATAATTTTCTGCTATTCATCTACTAGGTTTGATTTCTTAACACAATGCTTTCTTTTCCCATAAACTAAAATGTCAATGTATTTTAAAACATATAGACACAAACTCCGTATTTCCTTTCTATCTCCAAATCCAAAAGAATCTAAAGGACATGGAGTAGCCATTCACCATAATAAATATGAAATCCACACTTTATTTTAAAAGGACTATAAAAATTAATGTACAAGAACACTGTTTAAATGAGGACCCAGACACACAAACACATACATTCAGCAAACTACAGAACCCACCAGGCTTTGCATAGCCAGTGGGGGGTGATGTTGCTGCCCCTGCCCAGCGGAAGGAGCTGGAGGTCCCCTTACCCAGCAGCAGCCCCTTTAAGGGCTAAATAAGGGGATGCTATTTTTTGATGGGGGAGTCGCATGAGATTGCACTTACCAAATTGCCCTATTTTTGCATAAACCCAGCCTGTTGGGGATGTCAAGTCTTCCTGCCCTTTCCTCATAGACACACAGTTCAGTTTTGAGGGTTCTTACAGATACTGCCTGCACATGCGCACACACACACACACACACACACTTACGTAAAATGTTATTTTCAACTAAGAACTCTTAGCATCTTATATTTTATATTTGCAAAATTAATAAAATGCTAATTTGGTGAAATGTCCCAAAATTATAATAATTGTTTACAAATGTCCTAATTTTCTTTCTTCATAGGGCATTTCATTATATGCACTTTGTTGTGTAACTCATAAATTTAAAATGCTGCCCTAATTTCAGGATTCACTTTACTATATAGTCCTATCTCCCAGTTATTTCTGGTTCTTTATAATTCCAATGCAAGTATCAGGATTTGGAGTAGACAGAAGTGCTTAAAACATCCCCCCAAACCCCCCTCACCCTAGTCCCCGTTAAGACTGTCCTTCCATTAGCAGGTTCCTTGCTTCCCTTCAGATGTGCTGGAAGATGAGAGCTCATCAGTGACACATCAGCTCTGACTCCTGGCAGTTAATCACCAGAATTGTGAACGTGGCCACCGGGTTCTCTGGAGCTTTCTATCCTTCTAGCAAGGGTATTACAGGTTGTTCTTGTCTGCAGAGAAAGTGCAGCACATGGTTAGTGTGGCGAGCAAGGGGAAGGAAGCCATAAAGTGGACACAGATGAAAGGGGAATGCAGACACCAGCCAGGGAAGGAAACGGCACAGAAGTAAAATTATACTGTAAACATATTCTGCTTTGAATCAGAGGGCAGCTGAGCGACTGGGGTCCTATAATAAGAACAGCCAGTCACTTAGATTTGAGGTGATGGCGTCCTGAACTGTCAGAGTAGCACAAAAGTAGGAGCATTTTGAAAGAAGGCAGAACTTAGTGACTAAGCAGATATGGAAAACGGGGAGAAAGAGGAGTCAATGACGACACCACAACTTTGAACTTGACTCCAGGAGCGTAGCACCACACACAACAGGGAATTCCAAAGAGGAAAATGGGCTTCCTGTGAGGAAGATGGTAAATTTAGCCTGAGACAGGCTGAACATGAGCCAAAAGGTCCAATGGGAAGTTGATAGGATAGGAGGTAATTGAAGGTGATAGGATAGGAGAGGTGGTAGGAGAGGAGATCATACATGTAACAGCTCTTTCATGGAATATTTCACATACATCAAATGTAGGCCGAATAGTAATGAACTGCCAGATACCTATAACCCAGCTTCAAGAATGGTCAGCTCCAGGCCACAATTGTTCCACCCAGGCTCAGTGCCCTGTTCAGAAGCAAATTCCAACCATGGAGAGAGGAAAGTAAAGGTATGAAGCACAGATAGTGTTGACTGGCAAGACCACAGAGAAGCTTAAAGAAAACCTGCTTCTTTACAGATGAGCAAAGTGCAAGATCCGAACAGTCAAGAATTTGTTCTAATGAAGACAAAAACAGTAGTGCTGTAATAGGAATTCAGTTATTTGCAAACAGCCTAGCCAAGTTTTCATCTCTGTGAGCTGAAATGAGAAAATTAGGTTGATGTGCAGATTTTTCAGAAAGCTATGGTTTGATTTTAAAAGTAGTTTGTAAACATTTTAAAACTTGTTTAAATGGATTTTTGCAGTAAACATTTTGTTTACTTGTTTTGTGACTCTTTCAAATAACGCCACACATACCATCAATATAAACTAACCATAAAGCAGGTCCTCACACTAACAGTAAGACAAGAGAGCTGTGTTGACTTAATTATCACCAGCTGTTTTATACCCAGTGGCCCTAAGTTCCTGGGGCCACTGCAGCGTGCCATGGAGACAAGAGTCCTCTTTGTAGCCAGAGTTGGTTTACCTGCAGCTGCTAGGAAAGTCACCTCGAATGACACATCACCTCCCGTACCATACCTTCCTATCAAAGCTCAAGCTTTGTGTGCATTATGGTGAGTGGAACATAACAAGGCAGTAAAAGGTATGTCGGCGTTAATTCCATACAAGGACTCAACCTGAACAATATTCAGCCTGTCGAAAGAAAATAGTAGATCAGAAAATATGACAGTTCACGGATCCAGTTAGATTTGTTAATCAATTTGAGACAGTTTAAATATGCGGTAACGGGCCCTCCCTGGTGGTGCGTTGGGTTAAAACGCAGCAATACAAAGCTGGCTGTGGCTGTTTCTGTGTGAGTTTGAGCCCCACCGGAGGAGAGGTGACCTACAGGGTGCAGCAGACCTCTCCTCTCTCACCTGCTGCTCCCCTCAGCAGTGTACTTCGTGGATCTGCCTGTTCTGCTCCTCACTCTGTCTCTGATGAGTCTTCTCACTGGCCCTGCACCTCTGGCCTTTACCCCAGTTCTGTATGCATAAACAAATAAATCTTTTGAAAAAATATGTGGTAATGTTCTTTGTAAGATGTTATAAAATCATACACACAACTTTTGGCTTTTTTAAAAAACAACAATTTTAAAAATGTGCTGGTATTAGAATATTGATAGAATGGTAGGAGAGTACCTGAGAAAATGTCACTGCATATTGCACTTCTAACTGGGCAGGAAAGTGACATAAAAGATATTTGCCTCAATCTGGCAAAAAAAAAAAAAAAAAAGCCATTAACTCATTATCTTCTTATCTAGTGCACTAAGTAGAAGAATAAAACAAACGTCTGAGAATGTATATGGTTGGTTATTTAAGGTAATTAAAATTTCAAGCTTCATTATGTTTCACTAAAGTGTATTATTTCGATAATAACAGTCTCTCAGTCTGTGGCTGCCACTGTCTTCTCTTGGGAAGAACTGGCTTTATTGTTGCTCTGCCCTTCCTTCTTGCTCTATATTACATGTTCTTTCTTTCATGAAATGATAGATGGCAGGTTTTTCAAAACAACATTTAATTGGGAAAAAATATTAACAACACTGGGGTCAATTAAAAAACAAGCTTATGAAGTTCTGGTTTGTAAAATACAGAAGTGGTAAAAACCTCTGCTTTGCAGTACCCCGATCACAGAGGAGCAGACACGAGGGGGAAGAGCCCACCAAAGGAAAGATCCAAGCTGAGAGTAAAAGCCAGTGAGACTCAGCAGTCAGCAGACCTAGTGAGAGTGGACACTGAAAATAAAGTAAGAGGGAAGACTCTAAGCTGGCTTCGCCCCACCCTGTGCTTTAATATGCAATGACATTAATGAATTTGTGAGTTAGGATAACACTCCCTGCCCTCAATATCTCACTCATGCATCTGCTGCCTTAAGAAATAAATGTTTTAGAAGGTGGTCAGCAATACCTAATGCAAAAAACCAGCCAACCAACAGAAAGTTAAAAATGAGAGCAGGCAGAAGATGCAGCTGTAAACTGTGAACAGACACAACTGAAGGCTCAGTATGAACACGGGTGGGAGCAAGCAGAAGTCCAACTGTCAGCAAACTCGGCTGAACAGGGAGGGCCTATTACGGTCCAGCAATATTTATTTTTTAGTTACAAACAAATTTGAGTCCAGGGAAAAGCTGCCTAACTCCTCTAGTAATGATCTTATATATGCCAGCCTCTCAAAGCACCTTAGTACAGCCCCATGCTGCCACTGGAAATTGGACACACATATCACTTGACAGCAGACAAAGACAAACAGTGAAAGCCTGGGTCCTGGGTCCTCACTGGGGATCCTCAGACCCCATGCTTTTCTTTGGGTGGAGACAACACTAAGAAACTACCTATAGAGGGACCTAGTTCCCTAAATCTCTCCCACGCCATGAGGGTTGGAGGGTGATGCAGAGATCTTGTTCAAGTGTCAACATTTCCGTGATATGATATACTGACTATTTAAATTCCCCAATTATACTGGTACTTACCAGTTTTTTTTTTTTAAGAAATGAAAGTACTGATGTCTCAAAGCAAGATATCTATCCTTTCTTGCAGTAATTACAATTATCAACTGAATTAGCCAAGTGACATCAATTGCAAAGCAACATTAACATAATGACATTAATTTGGCAAGCAGCCCATGCTAATTATAAAAGCAACTTAAGCTTACCAAACTAAAGGGAAAACAACTAAGCATATAGATAGATATCTTATACTTATCTCCTAAAAATAGCAGTGGCCATTTCTTCCAGCTTCTAGCATATTACTTTCTCCCTAACCAGCTTTTATTCACCTGACAATAACCAGGGTCCCAGTATGATGGCACCAGTGGGCACTGCATGAAGGGATTGCCTTGCTGGGTTAGACTCCTTGCTGTGGAACTTTCTGGCTCTGACAGTAACTTTTGGGACTATTTATCAAAAAAATAAATAAAGCCTTATCAAGTAGAAAAAATATTTTATTAAAAAATTCACTTTCTGGGGTCATATTTAATTTATGAGCAAAAATGGGAAATAAATACAACACTGCTATATAAATTTGATATTCTATTACATTAGAAAATCAAATGTAAAGTTCTGCTTCACTTACATGTCCCACTTATTCAAATGTATTCACTTACATGTCCCACTTATACAAATGTATTCACTTACATGTCCCACTTATTCATATGGTACAGTAATAATATACAGAAACTTCTGTGATCATACATAAAAATATATCTAAAATGATATAAGAAATCATTTTTGAGAATTACTCTTATCATGTTTTCTGATAATATCCATAAGATTAGCTCCCGTAACTAGATTGTTCTGTGCCTGTTTGTCTTTCTGTTGTTCTTTCCTCTTCTGGTCATGAAGATAAGGGGAATTTAATAACTGTGGGGGAAGAATGGATCCGGTGGGTTTTACCCTTTTTGCAATGTCCCAGAAGAGTCTTTTTGAACTGTTATTGATCAAAGTAATCGCTGTTCCATTTTGACCTAATCGCCCCACTCTTCCAACCTAAAACAAAACACAGAGGACATTTTCAAATTGTTCATATATTCTCTTAATGTTACTTGACAAGAAATGAAGACTAGTATTTATTTACAGAGGCTTTATTAAGATTAACATTCATTCAGGTCTTTTTAAAAATTGTACATATCAATAAATATATGAAATCAACTTATTTACACCAGCATATATTTTTAAATTTTATAACAGTTTATTTTTACATCATTTTGTACATTTTTTCATCTCAGTAGTAATACCTGTGGGCTTCCCATCACCAAATCACCCATGTGCCATCACCATGCATTCCCCTCCCCCCACTGTTTTTGATCCCGTTCCCCACTCCACCCCAACAAAATGTCTCCGGTATATAGCTGTTCATCATTAGACCAGCATATTTTTAATAAGACAGCCAAGCAGAAAATAAGGAAGTGACCAAACATAATGTATTGTCTATGAAATTTATGTTTCAGTTATGTGTGTATGTGCGTATGTGTGTTGAGGGGGGCTAATGACATAGAGATACTTTTTGTGACTGGGTTAAGGTAAAAACTTTTGGGAAGTCACAACATTAAGAGCAGAGAACAATCTGATTTAGGGTATATATATGCCCGGAAATGTAAGACTTAAGCAAATCCATCTTTGCAAAGTTTTTCTCATTTTGATTGAATTAAATAGACACAAATCTGTGGTGGAGACCTATGATTAGGAGCAAAATTTACTTACGTGGAACTCTACTAGTAAACACCTCAGAAAAGGAGGGGAAGACACAATCGAGGTCAATTTCTGCTCCTCAATTGAAATGTAAAATTCAAAATCTGTACTTAGAGAAATACATGATTCCTGCCAAGATGTAAGGCATTTTAAATGTTGGAAAAGAAGAGCTGAAAGGGGCGGCCTCTGTCATTGAGACTGGGCATGCTATTTTTCAGTATCTGCTCATAATGTTAAATTATTCCAACAAAACTAAGAACTAGCATAAAAATTAGCTGTAACTTACAGCACAGGAGGAAAGATGTATAGATTTTATATAGAATAAATTTCTTCTAGACTATAGAAAGAACTTTCATAGCTCAGTAATAAGAAGTGGGCAAAGAATTTACACAGACATTTCCCAAGAAAGATACACAAATGGCCAATAAGTATGTGACACGATGCTGATGTCACCAGTCAATCAGGAAACGCAAACCCAAAACACACACAGCTATCACCACACCCACTGACATGGCAATCACAGAAAAGACAGATCATGGACATGCCGATGCAGAGAAACTGGAGCCCTCATCTATTGCTGGGAATGTAAAATAGTGACATCATATTAGAAAACAGGCTGTCAGCTCCTCAAAAAGTTGAACATGGAGTTACCACGTGGCCCAGAAATTCTATTCCTGATGTATCCCCAATAGAAATGAAAATGTGTCCATACCAAAACCTGTAAATGAATGTTCACTGCAGCATTACTGATAATAACCAAATGTAGAAACAACTAATCCATGGATAAAATAAAAGAGGTCTATCTTTACACAGAAGTAGTATCTGTCCATCTCACAAAGACATACTGATAGAAGCCACAGTGAGGGCGAAGCTTGGAGACACCAGCTACAGAAAGAAGCCAGTCCCACAAGACCATACACGGAATGATCCCATCTCCATGGAGTGTCCAGAAAAGATGACTCTATAGAGACGGAATCTGTCTCTATAGATTCAAGGAGAGTTTTTCCTAAAGTTCAGAGTGTGTGTATGTATGTGTGATATATATTTGTGTGTGTATGTATGTGTGTGTGTGTGTGTATATACATATATATAGGTAGAGAGAGAGAAAGAGAGAAGGGCAGAGATAGAGAGATAAGGTATGGGATGCTTTTCAGGTGATAGAAATTTTCCAAAATTGACTGTAGAGATGGTTGTATAATTCTATTAATATACTAAAAATCATTTAATTATACAATTTAAAGTGATGAATGGCATACATGTGAGTTAAATCTACTGGACTTATACAGAGGTATTTCATATTGAAACATAAAGTTGTTAAAAAATAACTCTAATATAATATCCAAACTCTAATAGATGGCTGATGCTAACAAATATCACATTAGTTTCACAGAAGCATTCCACCCCCTTCAATTAAAAAGCAGACACATGGAAAACATATCAAGAACACAAATACCTACAGCCTTTAACCTGAAAGTTCCCCTGCCAGGAATTTATCCTTAGCTATACCTGAATAAGAGACACAAAGAACTAATAATGATAATGAATACAGCATTATTTAATAACAAAATACTGGAAACACTGACAACAGTTTAGGGTTCGTTAAATAATTATAGTATTTATATATAATCCATTCTCATGCACTCACTAATCTACAACAAGCCAGATTAAAAAGTAAAAACATTTAAAAACCTTGTAACAGTGCCTGATTGTACAGTAAGTCCTCAGTATATACTGGCACTTATTAAATAGTACTTGTTATGTGCACTGATAGGAAATATGTCGAAGGGGCATTTCATTTAAAAAACCAAGGCCAATCGGCTGGTACAGTATGTGAAAAGGTGACAAGGGCATGCAGAGCTTCTGTACTAGTAACAGTAGGGAGCAATGAAAGGCCAGGAGCTACCTTTTGAAGACTTTTCACTGTACAGCTTTTGTTCTTTGCATTATTTGTTACTGATGGTATGTGCAGTGTACTTTGATTACTGAAGCAAAAAAAAAAAAAAAAAAAAACCCAGATACAGACCAAGAAAAGCAGAAGGTGCTAGGCCATTCTAAACATTCAGAAATTCTCCACTGGCCAAGCCCCAAGGCTCTGGATGCCCTTAGAACCCTGTGTACCATGTGAATACTTGGGAGCCACAGGGCTGACCATGGCATAGCCAGAAAAGGTTAAATAAGTATAATCAGCATACTCTAAGAAGCAAGAGGCTTGCGGTTCTTAACATTTTGAGAGTATTTTAAAAATACACTTTTTATTTAAAAAGTTTTTTAAAAATTCACTTCAGTTATTTGAATGAACAATTAATGCCATGGAATACTCAGCTCTGATACACAGGTGGTACCAAAAACGAGAGAAGGGGGGAAGCACTTTTATTAAGTCTGTGTAGAAATAGAGGTAACAATGCATTAAAGGCACTAAAAGGGTTTCAGCGGATGATCGAGTGAATGTGGCATTCAGGGGTGACGTGAAGAACATTACAGAAAGGCTTTACTTCTAGAGTGTGTGCCAGAGTAGGAAGACAGGTAGCAGTCGGAAAGATAAGGCAGCATTAAGAGAAAGCCCTCTCTATTTCTGTTAGAAATAGAGCTACTGTTATCTTTGGCAGCAAAGAAAAGGAACAAAACTTTAAAAGGTGAAAGACTAGAACAAATAAGGATACAGAGAGGAGATGAAGACAAGATTCCTAAAAAAACAAATACTTTAATGGATCAATTTTAGTTTGGCCAGATATAGCAATCTTTTAAAACAAAGCCCCCTTTTCTTAATTATAAAAGGCATTAATATGCTCGCTGGAGAAAAAACATAAATAAAAATAAGCCAAAAACCAACTACTTAAAACTGTTTTGAACATTTTAGGTTAGTATTTCCAATTATACTTAATGCACTGTAGGCATACATAAAGCTTCTTAGCTTACTTACTTACTGAGAAGCAAAAAGTTAAGTTTTATGTCCATTATAACTTGCCATTATATTGACAATACCTTGCCCAAGAATACTGAAGAATAAAACAGTGGTAACGTACAAAACCTCTTTACCTGATGCACATACTCATCCATACTTGAAGGCATATCAAAATTGACCACCAGCTTGACGCTGATCAGGTCTAGGCCTCTCCCCAGGACGCCTGTGCTCACCACCACCTCACAGTCTCCGTCCAGTAATCCCTTTCCAAAACAGCAACACAAGTCAGTGTTCAGAATCTGTCTCACTGGTTTAGAGAATTCAGGTATCTTTTCTTTTTTTTCTCGTCACTGCTGTGGTTGCAGTATCTTTTCAGCAAGTTAAGGTCTTAGTAGAACTCAGAAATGAAAAAGCATGTTCCTTACAGCCCCCCGCAGAACTGTTTCTATTCATTCACTCAGCACTTTTTTCCAAAGGGGAAGTACTGCTGTCCCAGGCCAAACTGACCTGACTGCCAAAATGGTGGGCTCGGAATTAGTAATCTATTTAGTAGATAATCCCTAGAGAAGAGGCTTATTGCTTCCCAAACAGAAGCCTGAGCAGCAGAAGCTACTTCATACTCACTGCTTTCCTGAAGTTCTTATACACATTAAAAAAAAAGGACAGCTTTAAAAACGGGGTAATGATACGGTAGCTTTTGAAAATGAGGCAAAACAGACTAATAGGCAGGAAAGAAACACTGAGAGGCAAACCTTCAAGATGTTTTTCCTTTCCATTTGGGACTTCTCTGAATGTATAGATACGCTTTTCAGGCCTGTGATTTTCTGAACTGCTTCACTCAACAGATCTGCACCTAGTTTGCAGCCCACAAAGACCAACACTGGAGGCTTGAAAAGTTTCTTATCCTGAAAAATTGAAACCATGTATTTGAAATTATTCATATAACATAATTTATGTTGGAAAGTTTTTCTGAAAGCATCAGTACCATTAGTTATCCAGAGTTAATAAACATTTTTATGGGGTGGGGGGAAGTCTATTCAGTTAAAAATAAGTATTTCCTTACAATAGATAACAAACAGAAGCCAAACAACCTACCGTTTATGAAAATTCTCCATAACATCATTAAAACTACAAAACACACTAAATTTTAAGTGTAATTTTAATAATTTCATAAGTCAATACAAACTACATTTAACTTAAATTACTTAAGTATATTTTTAAGTAACTGCCTGTCCATATCACCCATTTCACAAATTTTTTGGTTCAGATAGTAAGTACTAAAAAATTCTATTTCTCAAGTTAAAAATAGCAAGGAAGAACTTGTCTTCACCTTTTATATAACACTACTAAAATGCTGTCAAGCAAATAAATACTCCTTAGAAATAATCATGACCTTTTTTTACATACCTACATCAAATTCCCCAAAACCTGGATCTAAAAATCACTCTCTTAAGAACTGTGAGAAATATGAGAATAACCTACAGAAGAGTGGAATGCTTACTACTCACATTTAAAATTTCGAATAACTTTTTCTTTTTGGCCGGTTCTTCTACCCACAAAACAATCTGACGTACACTGGGACATGGCAGGTTCTTCTCGCCAGTGATAATTCTCACGGGATTATGCAGAAGCTGGTTTGCTAGTTGCTCCATGCTACTTGGAATTGTAGCCGAGACCAATACAGTCTGACAGTCACTAGGAACGTTTTCCAAAATGTCAAGTACTTGCTGTTGAAATCCCATCTTTAACATGGTATCAGCCTAAAATAAAATCATTTAAAAGTTAGCCCCACTTGACATTAACACCAAAGGGACTGACGGAATTAATGTAAAAATAACAACTCCTACACAGAAAAAGCTAACACACTGCCAAAAGACAAAATATCAATTTGAAAAATTAGCAGGTATTTATAGAAAATTATATCCCATATAACCACATATCTATAATGACAAAACTTTATTATGGCATTAATAAATCGTGACAAAAACCCAAACATATACATCCTCAGTATCCATAAACAGGAAATATGATAAATTATGATAGATTAGATAATACAACATTATGGTGTCATGAAAAATTATCAGAAAGTCCTTTAATAAATAATAATGAATTACGATTAGGAACAAAAAAGCCAAGTACAGAATACTAGTAGATAAGGTTCAACTGGAGTATACATTCAAGAAACATAATTGCTACCTTTGGAGAGGTTTTCAAGCTGTATGGGAAAGGAGCATTCTCAGTTTTCAAAGTATGCAAGTTTAAATTTTATTATGGAAACATTTACAGAGCATTTTAAATAAGAAATTTAATGCTGGGGGTTTTCATTTCTGTGTGTACTTCTGCTTTTGCTAGTTTTTAAAAACAATGTGTACTATGAAGGAAAGAGAAAACATTTTTAAGTCAGCGCTGAATACTTTTAAGTCAGCGCTGCTTTAAATAAGGAAAGGTCAAGGCTACCTTGATTTTGAAATACACTTATCTCAAAATGTTTCTCCTCCCTCACTGACTACTCCTTTTCAAACTCCGTTCTCTTCGAAGACTCCTACATGGTGGTGAGCCTCAGAGACTACTCAAGGCCCTCTTCCTCCTCATCTACGCTCTCTTCCCAGGTCAGCTCCCAGGTTCCATCACCAAATTCCTTGTATGATAAAGGAATTCCTTCTTTGATAAAGACCCCCCAAATCTTACCTCTGGCTATAACTTCCTTCCTGAACTTGAGTGGTAGAATCCAAATGCCAGCTTAACGTACCCACTTCGATCTAAAAGGACTGTCAAATCTAACATGTTTAAAACAGAAATTTCCACATTCTCACTGGCAAACCCAATCTTACTGCAGCATCCATGTTTGGAATGGCACCATCAAAAACCTGTTTCACCCCACATATAACCCACTATCAATCCTGTAGACACTGCTAACACACCCTAAAAACAGTCACTACTCTCAGTTCGCAATGAGAACGCTCCCACTCCTGACACTCCCACCTGAGGATCCATTTTTCTCAATCAACCTGATTCTTCTAGAACATAAATTAGATATTGTTACTTCCTTGCTTAAACCCTCCAGTGACTTCCCTGCCCTCTAACTAAATTTAAGGCAAACCCCAGGTTGTCTCTGGCATGTGACTCTGTATTCACAGGTATGTCACAGTTCACCTCACTTTCCACCGCATCCTCAAAACCAAGAAGACATGGATTTAATAAACATGGATTTAATAAGTATTCATGAATTACGAACACTGAATTAGAGCTTACTGATGTCAGACAGCTACGTTAACTTCTACGTTATGTATGATGTCTTAACTTCCTACGTTAAGAATGAGTGTTTAGGCCCTCCCTGGTGGCGCAGCGGGTTAAAGCACAGCACTGAGAATCTAAAGCTGCTTCCGCATGAGTTCGACTCCCGCCTGCCCCGGAGGTGACCACATGGCGTGGCAGACCTCTCCTGACCCGCCCACTGCTCCCCTCAGCAGTGTACTTCGTCGATCTGCCTGTTCTGCTCCCCACTCTGTCTCTGGTGAAGCCTCTCACCGCCCCTGAGCCTCTGGCCTGTACCCCAGTTCTGTATGCACGAATAAATAAATCTTAAAAAAAAAAAAAAAAGAATGAGTGTTTAAAGATTACCAGTCTCTAACTCAGACCTGTTGTGCCAGAATATCCCCTTGTCAGCTCTGGTCTTCCACTACATTCTCTGAGCATGCAGGTGACTCTTCCAGGGCGACTCGGGTCACACTGCACTTGTCAATGGGGGAGAGCAGGAAACACCATGTATAGGGGGAGTCTGTTCACAGGTCAACCCAGCAGAGCAGAGAAGTACTAACGCTGCCTCAGGGTGTGAGGGGAGACATGTCAGAAGCAGACATATAAAGAAGGATCAGCAGGAGATGGGAGGGAGCAACTACTGGGACAAAGGACAGACAGAGGAGACAGAAGGAGACAGAGAGGATATTTCTGATTTTAAAGGAACATCTCAGTTTCCACGCCTGAGGATTCCTGTGCCCTCGCTCCCTCTGGAATCAGTGGCTCTCTTCTTCAGGGCTGTTATTTAGGCTCTGTTCCTTCCTGGTCTCCGGGGCTACTTCTCTGTTGACGACTCATGTCAAATTCCACAAACCAGACCCTCAGGCTAGTCCTCATCTCCCACTAACTCTCTTACAAGAGCAAGTCTGAGTCACTGGCTCCAATGCACTGTTTCCTGTATCTACAGAATATGTCTCCTTTGTCCATCATTCATATAAAAGCTGACATTTCGAAAACCAAATGCAAATATTACTGCACAGTCCCAGTCCTTACCTACTTGTTCTTTTGTATGGTTAAAGCACCACCCTAATGTATGGAGTCAGCCCTATGGCCTCCTCTCCCACAAATGACTTCTTCCAGGGACTGGCAGACATGACCTGCTTGGCTCCTGCCCTGCCCCGGTCCCTCCTCACCTCTTGTCTGGGTGGCTGGCTGTCTTGGCTCACGGAATCTTTCTTTGTTAATTTCTTTTGAACAGCTAGCTACAGCAGAGTGAATTCCTAAACCACCACTTTCAACGTGACACCCAACTCAGTAATTTAGGGAGCCCACAGACTCCCACATCAAATCCAACTGTTGTCCCCCTTTCAAGGCTCTGTAATTTGACCCCACCCTAACTACTCAATTCTACTTTCTACCATTCCTCTGGAAGAACTCTTCCTGCTGGCTGGCCTCCTCTGACTTTCTGGTTCTGCTCCTGTCATTGTCTCCACTAGGGATGTTTGATGCAGTTTCTAGTCTTCTAAATCCAGCTCCATCTATAAAGACCCAGGTCACATCATTAACTCCGAGAAGCCATTTTTTATAGTCTCTATTCATATATTCTCTCATTTGTCCCTCTAACCTCATGTGTCCCGAGTAATTAGCATGTCATACATAGTCCTATTATTTCCCTAACAGCTTATCTTAGGGGATGGCTAACAATGGCTCTCAGAACAAATTCACACCTTTGCCTGTTTTTATAACTGTTTTGTAGGGCACAGTCACAACCACCCATTTACACACTGCCTGTGGTTGTACAGAGTAGTGGTGACCAAGGACATTAGCCCCAGAGCCTAATATATTTATTATCTGGTTCTTTATAGAAAGACTTAGTCAAGCCCTGGTCTATGTCATTCGATCATTTGTATTTAAGTTTATATGATAATGTCCTTGCCTTTGTTTCAAATATTTGTCTTTTTCTCCAATAAGGTTTTAGCATTTTGTAAACTTAAGTGGCATTTAAAGCTTCCAGGTTGTTGTCACCCAGACTTACTGAGCTGGCCAATCTGTACCTAGTCAAACCTATGCATTGACCTGTGTCAGTATCTGATAGCCTATATTGTTTATCAGTTTTTCTCCCCTCTATGCCACTCAGAGGCCATAGTCTTAAATGGCAGGAGCGGGACGGCGGCCAAGAAAAACAGCTGCCACACAGGCTGCTAGGCGACACTGCTCTGGCACCATGGCCATATGCACTGGGGTGCCCGTGAGCCTTCTTAATGGCAGAAGATGAAAAGACTGTGAAGAGAAACAAGGATGAGTGCTTCTCAACCTGCACATGGGTTCCTTCTCAGGTACATGAGATGAGAACCAGTGAAGGATTTACCAAGAAAGGGAAGGCCAGCCCGACATCTAGGTGCGGCCAGTTGGAGGATGAACATGGAAGCCATTGGTTCCTCCAAACGTCATGCCAGGAAATGGATGACTTAGCAGCACCTTTGAAAGGCTGAATAATATTTGACAACTAAACAGGACTTCTCAGTCTCTTAGACATTCTCATAGTCATTACTTCATCCTCCCCACAAATCTGGACATTTTAATGATTTGCCTGAGGTGTCACAGGAGGTGAAATAAAGGCTCGAGCCCTAGTCCTGTGGCTCCTCGCTCTGAGCTCTCCCCTTGCCCTCTGGGAAACCCTAACTCCCCCCGCCCAGGACTTGCTCAGCCAGGCTGTCCTCACCGGCCAGCCAAGCACGTCGCTCACTGCAACATAGGCCTCTGCTGTCACTACCAGAGCGACAAATGTGAAGGCAGATGAGCATGACCATCTGGGCCGGACATGGCCTTGGTTCTCATGTTGTTCAGTGGACTGTCATCCATTAATAAAATGTTTATTTCAGCTCATTAAGCAAGCAAAAATACAAAAATGTCTGTTCTTTCTATAGAACACAGAAAATACAATCACAGATGCCTTAATCTATACAGAAAAAAATTGAAAAGGTGATTCAACTAAACATTATTCAGTTACGACTCCCAAAAGTCCTTGTTAATTATTATTTGCCACTGTTTCTCTTTTGTGGATAAATGATAATGCACATCAATGGTTAGAAAATGTATCAATAAGGATATAGCTGAATTTGTGTTTTTTATCATAAGTAAGTGCAGCTATGGTTTAAATTTAGCACCACAACCTTACTTTAGCTACTAGCTACACAGAAACCAACTTAAGAACCACCATGGCAATACTTCTGAATATTTCTTCCCTTTGTGGGTGAAAATGCCTGAACACACAATCAAGTTATATAACTTTAGAATATATTTGTTATAAATTATATAAAGTTATGTGACTAATGCTTCTAAACAACACTACTTACTTCATCTACTACTACAATTTTTATATTGCAGAGCTCTACAGAGTTCTGTTTTATTATCTCCAGAAGTCGCCCAGGAGTTGCTATGATAACCTGGATAAAAGAGAAACAGCAAATAAAAAAGTTAGATAATGTTCAGTCATCCATTCATTCATTCTATACTTACTGAATGGTTAATATGTGTCAGCGTTCAATGAATGAGTCAGACACAGTCTTGGCTCTCATGAGTCTTAATATAAAGGAAGAAATGAATAGAACAATAAATGTTTTGAGAGCAGTAGGCAAGCAGTGAATGGATGTGGCTCCAGGGCCTGCTAACACATGCACTACAGGAAAGGAGCGGAGGGAGGAAGCAAGGTAAGGGGAGTCTGGAGAGAGAGGGGGCATCCAGAGCACCCTGAGGCAAGAGGCCCCAGAGGCTCCAGAGTGGTCAGGGAGGGGATGTCCCAAAGCAGGGGCCAGAGCAGGATATGTGGCCTCTGTTTGGCTCTGTGGACAAGAACAAGTTCCTTTACCTCTACGGGCCTGCTACTGCATTCTTACATTATAGGTTGATTTCTACCGTGGGTCAAGGCTTTGACCAGTTTTATAGTATGTAAGATGAAGTAGTGCCTAAAAGTGGGTCTCTTTGATCAGAATCAGTAGGAATCTCAGCTCTAGCATATAATAATAGTAGGAGTCCCTGTTCTCATCCATAAAGTGGAAATGATAAAAACAATCATTATGAGGATTAATTAAGACAGTGCCTAGATAAAGTAGAGAATTACAAAAGATCTAATCAATTGTATTCTACGTTTCAAACTTACACCAACACAATGGTAAAACCACTGAGAATGGTAACAGTTCAGGGTTCTAAGGATCTTATATATATTTGCACAGGACTATAGGAGTCTGCTTAGGTTTTTCAGAAATAGCATGAATTAAAATTTTAGTTATTTTGAATGAAGCTCACCCCTTTTTTTCCATTTCCCCCCATTGGTTTGGAAGTCATAAACTTTTTTTTTTCGACTTGAGCTTCGACTTGAGTTTTAACAAGATATATAACTTAATGAAGCCTAAAGTTAATTAACATTTTTATCCTTTCCTTGGGTAGTCAAGGAAAACAGCTTCACTTCAGGTTTCCCACACTTACATGCTACTGCTACTGTTGGCCAGTATTTCCCTCTTTTTTTTTTTTAAAGATTTATTTATTTATGCATACAGAAATGGGGTACAGGCCAGAGGTGCAGGGGTGGTGAGAGGATTCACCAGAGACTAAGCGAGGAGCAGAACAGGCAGATCGACGAAGTACACTGCTGAGGGGAGCAGCGGGCGAGTCAGGAGAGGTCTGCCTCGCCATGTGGATCGCCTCCCCGGCAGGCAGGAATCGAACTCATGCGGAAGCGGCTTTAGCTTCTCAGTGCTGTGCTTTAACCTGCTGCGCCACCAGGGAGGGCCCTTCCTCTTTTTTTTTTTTTTGAATTGTGCTGGTCATGTTACTGGTTTTAGATGCATGACATAATGTGTGGATAGGTGCGTCTGCATGACTGCCAGCACAAGCACAGTTCGCATCCCTCACCAGTCACATTTTTTTTTCCTGTGGTGAGAATTTTTAACCTCTACTTTCTTAGCAACTTTCCAATATACAATATATACTAACGATCATCCCCAAGCAGTATGTTACATCCCCAGTTTTCTATTTTTACAACTCACTTATGATTAACGCTGTTTATTCTGTTCATCTACATTTACCCATGTGAGCCATTTTCTTTGCTTACCATTCTCTCCTTTCCACATTTTAGCACCATCTTTATCTGTAGAATATCTTATTTCAGAATTCCCTTTAGATGATCTAGTAGTAATAAACTCTCTCAGTTTTGTTTATCTGAAAGCATCTTTATTTTGCCCTTTCTCTTAAAAGGCAGCTCGGCGCCCGCCCTGGTGGCGCAGCGGGTTAAAGCACAGCACTAAGAAGCTAAAGCCACTTCAGCATGAGTTCGATCCCCGACCCCAGAGGTGACCCACATGGCGCAGCAGACCTCTCCTGACCCGCCCACTGCTTCCCTCAGCAGTGTACTTCATCAGTCAGCCTGTTCTGCTCCCCACTCTGTCTCTAGTGAATCCTCTCACTGTCCCTGCACCTCTGGCTGTACCCCAGTTCTGTGTGTATAAATAATCTTTTTTTTAAAGGATAATGAGTAATAGATTTCTCACTGTCAGTTATAGATGTAGAAACAGAAAACCTAAAATGAATCTTGCTGTGTTGAATGAGAATTGGAAGTACCAAGGTAAACTCATGGTCTCTGACAAATGCAGATCCGTAAATATACCTACTTAGATAGATTCCCCATTTGCTGAGATCAGAGAAGAAAGATAACCCAAGAGCAGCTAGCAATGGCAAGGAGCCCAACCTGGAGCCCAGGCTTGACGTTCTAAGTACTATTCTCTATCAAAGGGAACCAGGCTTCTTGGAAAAAGGCAGTTTGAGGATTGAGGCAAGGAAAAGACAAGGTAAGCAGGGAACATCTTTAGGCAGAAAATAAGGAAGTGCTCAGAGGATAATAGGACTATAATAAAAGCACATGGATGGGTCAGAGGAACAAAGAGTGATGTGAATCGCTCTATACTGATGTTAATTTACTGCTTCTAATCACACTGTGGCCTTCTAGGCTACCAACTGTGTTGTAGGAGTCACACGCAAGTGTATTAGCCATGAACACTTAGACAAATCCCATCTTTCTGAGATTCAACTTCTCAGCTGCAAAATCTGGGATCTGCCAAAGCACCTCCAAGAGCAGGTGTGATGACTAAATGAGATATCGCATGTGAGAACATCCCAGTGTCCAGCACACACAACAGGCACTCCACAGATGATGTCCCCTTACTTTTCCAGATACATACAACACACTTAAAATAATTAAGGCTCATTAATTAATTAAGGCAAGAAATTAAAAGCTACCGGAAATTCATTCACAGTTCCTCAAAGAGGAAAAAAAAAACCAGTTCCTATGTTCCTACAATACTTCTCAAAGGCCTGGAATAAAACTGGTACTTACCTTCACATACTGTCGTAGGCGATACAGCTGCGGGGGCATGGGTAAGCCTCCTACCAGAAGGACAGTCTTCATGCGCGGCAGGCCACTCATCAACTCCTTAGCTTGTCTCTCGATCTGAATAGCTAACTCTCGCGTGGGTGTAAGAATGAGGGCACAGGGAGTTTTGCTCTGCAAAGGTGTGAAAAGTAAATCTAAAAACACCATGAATAATTCCTATTGCTATAACTAAATCTTCAGAAGGATTCCAGATGCATTTCCCTTTTAAGTGTTCCCATCAGCCCAGGCCAGGGGATCCCTACTGCTTCCTTACTGCAGATTTCTTTCTCCAAAAACTATCATGAACTGACCTCATTTCTTACATAACACAGATAGACATTGGGGCAAAGGAGTTTCATCCACAGTGACTGAGGTGGAAAACCTGAAGGTTCACTCCTAGTTAATTGGGTCTACAGTGGCAAGCATCCTCTTCTTAAAAGAAACCCCACTAATCGCCATGAAGATTTCTTTCAAGCTTGGCATTCTAGCCATACTCTTTCCTTCGCCTCCCCAGTAGAATTTACTTCTTTTTTCTGTCCAAAGAACTTAACATATAAATTTTGGTCCCCTAGTGAATTTCCCCTATATTTTGAACATATAGCTCTTCTTCTTCTTCTTCTTCTTTTCTTACATTATCTACTGCTACTCCTTAGTTTTCCAAATTTTCTTCCTTTTTCTGTCCTTTCTTTACCCACTTCTCTCACTTGCTTCCCTGCTTGCCATATGTAATAGCTCACAAGTTCGACAATACTTGGAAAACAGCAATTACCCAAATGTTTGTTAAATTATATGCTGAAGTATTTATACACTATAAACTATTAAGTAAGGTAAGGCAGTCTTATTTTAAGATAAATCATGGATCACATTTAAACACTGCATTTATTCTGAAGCACTACAATAGCATTTCAACTTTGGCATAAATTAATTTCTTTAAAACAAAAATCCAATGAGCATAAACTGCCACAAAAATTGCAGTTTCCCCAAATTAAAAGTTCATTTTGTTAGAAAAAAAATATTTCAGAAGGAAAACATATTTTTTAGACCTTCAATGAAGAACTCTGGCTCCATATTAAAAAAAAAAGAAAAATTCCCTAAAATTAGGTTTTCAGACTACTCTCAGAAGCAAGATGGGTTAGTAGTGCTGAATAAAGGGATTAGTGGGTTGGCCGGTGACTGCCCAGGACTAGTCAGAGATAGTGGCAGATAGCAAATCAGAGTTCTGATTGCTTGTATTAAACAAGGAGGCAGACAGCAATGGCTGCCAAAGCACTTCCGTCCCTTGCTAGAGGGGCTTAGGGGTTTTATAGGATGATCGGTATGGGACAAAGCAGGCTGGAGAGTAAGGTCAGGAATCCTGGTTACACTGGCATAGTGGATGGGGATCATGCCTCACCATGGGTCATATGTTCAGCCCATGGTGGCCAAACATCCCCTGGAAAGGTGATTTTACTATGTAGATGATGTTAGACATCCTGGATCCACAATGAGCCTCTAACTGTGTGCCTTCCAAGTAACAAGGAGACTAGTGACTACAGTTCTAAATATTTAGTTTGCAATTTCAACCCAGCTAAGGATGAAGTTGACAGGTACTCACTTGTTTCTGAGATAACATGTGAACTCTAACTTACCTCCAATAAAGCTCGGATGATAACAGGAAGAAGAAAAGCAGCCGTTTTCCCAGAGCCAGTGTCTGCACTGGCCAGAATGTCTCTTCCCAGAAGCCCCACGGGAATCATCTGCATTTGGATGGGGGTTGGAACTTCATAGCCTGATTTCTTCAAGTTGTGATTTAAGGGCTCAGGAAAACCACAATGTTCAAAGTCAATAATGGGCCTGCTGACATCTTGACCTTGAACTAAAATTCCTAGCTGCTGTTTCAGATTTTGAATCTGGGCTTCCTGAAGGTTCAAAATAAAGGGGTGTTCTTTATAGGCATAAGGAACATTAAGTGAAGACTCTGGCTCAGAATCAGCTTTCTGTGCATTACTGAGCTTCTCTTTCTTTTCCTTAATTTTCAGAAGATGCTTCGCTTTACACTCCAAGCTGCACACATCTTCATCTGTCTCATCACAGATATACTCTCCATAACGACCACAGATGACACACACGGGCTCCCCTGGCTCTGCCCAGCGCTGTGTTTTAGAAAATGACTTAACAGGGTCTTCGGAAAGATTGCTGTCCTTCATCTCCCGCTCAGGTGCCCCCATGCCAACCTGGGTCAACTGATGAGTTGGACAGGGACAGGGGAATGGTTCCCCACTGGACCTGTCTGGGGGTTCCTCTTCTTTTGTACCTGAAGCATCAATTGAATCATTTTTGCCTTTATCCAGCTGAAGGTCTTCTGCTTCTGGCTTAGTTTTCTTGGCAGCACAAATTTTGACGTCATCATTAGCATTCCTCTTGACTTTTAGAGACCTTGGAACAAACATCCTTCAATATTCTGTTGAGAAAATAATAGAAAGAGATTTCTTTTAATATTTTAATGAGATACTCATTACTTTAATAAGGATCAAGTATAAAGTCCTCGATGGTTATCCTGGAATCAGCTTAGCTTCTCTGGACTTGACCTCAATGGAATAAAGAAGACTTCACGATACTACTTATATCAAGTTTTTCTTCCATTCATCAATTTCCTCTACTGAAAAGACAGAGTCCCTTTTCATACACATACACACTCTCGCACAGTGAAACACTGCACAGTTAAACACAGCCTTCTACATAGGGCATATGTCTGTTTACTATTTGCACTTGGAAATATCAGATAGTACAGAAATTCTGGGGTAAATTCTTCTATTCCATTTTCACCAAATTGAGAAACACTTCACAATCGGAATCTTCAAAATTAAAATCGCAAGGCTATCTTACAAGTGACACATAGCATTTATTATGCTCTAAGCAGTGCTTAGTGGTTCACCTTAACTTAAACTTCATGAACTTGAACCTAGGTTAGTACCACCCATCCCCACATCCACAAACATGCATGTATTTATTGCGCTATTTTATCATAGACCCCTCTTTCACACAAGGAAACTAAACCCCGGAGAGCTTGACTTGTCCAAGCTCACACACCTCTAGCTTCAGAGTGCAAGTTCTCAAACCCAGTTACAACCATTTACTCAAAATTTTTTTTGCAAAATGATAGTGATTGGAACAGATTTTCAACACAATTTTGCTACTACCAAATATACTAACGAACGTTTCTCTACAATGTTCTGGGAAAACTGCCTTATTCCTTTTTTTTTTTTTTTTTTTTTATTTATTTTTTTACAAATATGCAACTGAGGGTCTAGAATTACCATCCTAAGTCTCCGGGAAAAGACTACCGGTGAGGGGTAGGAAAAGGACGGATCTACGAGAACGATTACAAGAGCCGGTAAAAGACCGGAACTCAGAGTCCTCAGAGGGCGAAACCCGGCCTCCGCCGCGGCCTCCGGGTCTCGCCCACGCCCCACCCTCATGGCACCCCCAGGTAGCCCCCTCGGGTGCTGCCTCACCCTCGCCTGAGGCCCCGCACTCCGGGACGTGTGCGCGACTCGGCGCTGCTAAGAGACGGGAATGGCGGATGCCGGGTTCCGGACCGAGTTCGGGAACGCAGAGCCGACCAGGCGGGCGGGGCCCGTGGGGGCACCCGGTGGGAGCGGGACAACGATCGCCGTGGCCTAGCGCCAGTCCGCCCGGAGCTGGGGCAGCTGGACCAGGAGAAGGCCCGAGCGGTCGGGGCCGCAGCGCGCTCACCAGCGCAGATCTGGGGCCGTGTTCGCGCCGGCTCCAGCCAGGCTCCCTGCCCAAAGGCGCGACCTATTTCGCGGCCTACTCTATGCGGCTCCGGGGGGCGAACAGGCCGGGGCACAAAATCCACTTTTCCGGGTTTTGGGAGAGGGCCGCGGGGCGGGGCGGGGGTAGGCGGAGTCACCTTGGTGGGCGGGGCTTAGCTGTGGGCTGGGAGGGGCGGGAGGAAGAGCGAAGGGGCGGAGCGCGCAGTTACGCGCGCTGACCACGCCCCGCCCTGCTCCGGGCTGCGGGTAACCCGCGGAGTCAGAGATGCTGCTGAACTGATTCTCCCCGGGAGGAGCAAGCTGGGAGGAGCCTTTTGGAAGAATTTACGTAACGGAGAGACCGAGGCTGGTGAAAGTCTACAGCCCAGAAAGACCCAAGAGTGCGGCGCGCGGGCATGAGGGCATGATGCTCTTAGGAAGTGGCAAGTTGGAGTAAGCCGGAGGCTCAGAGTGGGGTTCCAGGGGCCATAAAAATCCTTCCTGCTTGAATAGCAGGGCAACTCTCAAGTTAAACAGCGAGTTTCATACTGCATATTTGATATATTGAATATTATTTCCGCCACTACCACAACCGGCCAACACCACAAAGAAACACAATTAACACAGGTCATGGTTTTGGGTTCTCGTGTATTTAACGTTTCCCTCTTTGACTGTCTCTGGAGGCTGTCACGTGCCCCACGCAGCTTGTGGCTGAGAGATGATGGGGGTGGGAAGAAATCTGGATGAACGGAAGGTGGAAAGTAGAGATGATGTCTAAAGTATTTTCAGTCTACTATTTGACTGTCCGACTTTGACCACCCGCTGTCACTCGGTTATGTGAATTCTTCCAAGAGGATCCCCCAGCTTGCTACTTCTGGGAGAACCTGTCCGTACAAAAAATATATTAAATGAATATGAAAATTTTAAAGCATACTAATAAAATGAAAACCTGTGACTCCACAAGGAGTTGAGATTTGCCTCACGTTGTACATCTCCCAGCTTCTACCCCTTGCCATCTTTAGGAGTTTTTGGTGGTTGAATGCACCCCTGAACAATATGTTACTTCATGTTTTTTCTCTTTGAGCTTGATCACACATATCATATAATATCATATATATCATGTATAACCTGGGATTTCTGTGATTTGTTTTTATCACTCGACATTTCTGTTTCTTTGATTCACCCACCTTACAACAAGCAATAAAACATTTATTTTCACTGCTATATTATTGTTATTTGTAGTTTACTTATGTGAACATATAAAATATTATGGAAATAATCCCCCCGTTCTTTGCTTTGGCAGAAAAGGAAACAAAACCATTGGCTTGCAGTGTGTGAACAGTGCTGCAAAATCGCCCTGTGGGTAAAGCTAGTCTATTAATGCCTACTAATCACCAAAGAGCCAACAAAGATTAAACAAGGGGTACCCAGCCTTTTCATCTCTGTTAAGTACCTGCATTGCCCCCTTTGCGCTAGACAGCAGCAACTATATCTTTAGGGAAAAAATAATAGAACCAGAAACCTCTGTTTAAAAATAATCACATTTTTAATGTGAGTGACTCATTTCCTAACTTATTAATTCAAACATGTGTTTGTTGGAACAGTTCTCACAGAGTATAATCTTTAGGACTGTTTCTCAGTCAATCAAAGTGCTCTTTTTGATTATCTAATACATTTCTGTACATAACATGTATAATTGTTTATCCATTTTCCTGGTGATAGTTGTTTCCAGAATTTTGTTATTATCAGAGGAAAATTTACCATGACACTAACAAAATTTCATTTTAGGGTCCCTTACCCCCACAGGTCCCTTCCATAGCCCTAAAAACAAAGCCCTGGTTGCGTGTTCACAAGGTCATACAGTTTTGTAAACTCTGCAAAAGAAATCTGCGCAAAGGATTAGGACCACTTTCTTTTTCCATTCCAGCTTTCTTGCCTTCAGCATTTCTTAAATTGGAATGATGATGGGTGGATGGATGCAAGCAAGCATGTGGGGTTTGAACCAAAATGGGATGAACTGGGGAGACACTTACTTTTAGATAGGTGGAATATATAGGTGCATAGATAGATAGATATCTACATCTAGATATTTGTATAGATACAGATAATAGATATCCTACCTACCTAAAAGGAAATGTATGGATATAGATTATTTAGATATAGACATATGAGTTTTACATTCTCTTAATATTCCCAGAGTAGGCAGGTACAGGAACAGATGTCCTATCAGGATATGAATGTATACAGCACCCAGTTCTGGAAGTATGTGCATGATGCGGGAGAAGCATAGTTTGACAGAGGAAGCTAGAAGTTAGTCTGTAAAAATTCATGAGATTGTGTAAAATTATAAACACAGGATTGGGTTCTTACCAATGTCCAGTCAAATGGTAATTCCTTTCCATTGAGAATGTATTCATGATTATATAATTATAAATGTACTTGGTATTTTTTCTTTAAAGATTTATTTGTGCATACAGAATTGGGATATAAGTCAGAGGTGCAGGGGTGGTGAGAGGATTCACCAGAGACAGAGTCGGGAGCAGAACAGGCAGATGGATGAAGTACACTGCTGAGGGGAGCAGTGGGCAAATCAGGAGAGGTCTGCTGTGCCATGTGTGTCACCTCCCTAGCTAGGGATTGAACTCACACTGAAGCGGTTGCTGCCAGCTTGCAGTGCTATGTCTTAACCCGTTGTGCCACCAGGGAGTAGCAATCACCAAAAGTAGAATTGATAGATGCCTGAGTTTGTAGGTTGTAAGCCTCTTACAGAATTGCAGTGGTTCTTTCTGGATGGAAAGACACAAGCTTTTCTATATGCCACATATCAGTACTAAAATTTTTCAATAAACCTTGTTAAAAGAAAGACATAATACTCTTTTTCTGTCTCTCTTTAGAAAGCCATGTAACAGAAATTATTGTCCTATGAAGAGAGGATCAAAGACTTTACAATTTAAAAAAAATGAAGGAGAAAGGTATGGAGGTGTGTGAGACAGTTCCTTTTTTAAAAAAAAATATAGTTCTGGGCTCTCCCTGGTGGCGCAATGGGTTAAAGCACCACATTATGAAGCTCTCCAAAGCCACTGCAGCATGAGTTCGATCCCCAGCCAGGTAGCTGACCCACATGGCACAAAAGACCTCTTCTGACCTGCCCACTGCTCCCTTCAACAGTGTACTTTGTCAGTCTGCCTGTTGTGCTTCCCACTCTGTCTCTGGTGAATCCTCTCACCCACCACACCTCTGGCCTATACCCCAGTTATGTATGCATAAATAAATAAAACTTTAAAAAAAAAAAAGCATGGTACTTTCCCAGACTTTGTCACATTTGTAATTTGTTGTGACTTTTCCCAATTATATAAACTCATGCCCCCACCAAACTGAATATGCACCAAACTGAATATGCACCCCAGCAATGACTAATAAGACTGATGCACACATGATAAATCAAGTTTGGTAGTTTCAATTTTCTACTTCACTATTGTTCATGTTCAGATTTACCTGTCAGTCTGTCTCTCACCCATTAATAACTAAAATAGATCAAACAGGCAATCTCCCATTATAATGATGGATTTGTGTGTTTTCCCTGTAGTTCCATTAATTTTAATTTTGTGCATTTTAGAGCAATTTTATTTTAGAATCTGTATTTATAGAGCAATTTAAGCATTGATCTGCTTCTGGCAGGGTCCTCTCACTAGTCCTGCCATTCTCAACACTCACACTGGCAGCACACTGCTGTTGGCTAGCTGAATTACTGAATGATTTAGAGACAGTGAGTTTCCTACTAGAGGATAGCCCAGTTCTTCATGGGACATCTGTGATGATGAGCACCATTTAGCTATACTCTCCTTAAGGCCAGGCATTATACCAACTTTTTTTACAAACAGTATTATGCTTTTTTATCAGTGCAATCTCACAAAGTAGGTATTTTATCCCTATTATACTAGCGAAAAAACAGGGTAATTTAAGCAACTTGCCCAAAGCCACACAGTGCCAACAGTATAGCAGGAATTTAGGTTCAGGGCCATCTCCTAAATCCATTAAATGGCATTGCCTCCATGGTCTTCTTTATCTTAAGTCTAAAACCAAAACCATGTTCTCCTCAACTTTCTATGAAGAGACCCGGTTCAAATCACCATTTTCAGCCTTCCCAGCACCTGACTAATCCCTTGGAAACCTCAGAAATAATCCAGACTAATGCATGTCTCTTAACTCTGCCAACTTTTATCAGTTCACTGGCACACACTTTCAAGCTTTCCCATATTCATTAGTATCATGTTGTTACTTTTGAAGAAATAGTCATTCTTCATATACAGGATGGTTCATTCTTAATGTACAGCCCAGCCTGCTGCGTTCAACTCATTATTGCATGTGAGTCAGGCGTGTTAGATGAAGCCTAATGTTTAACATCAAACTCTTTATCTTTCAGGGTTAATAACAAACCACCCAACCACTCAAAGTCTTGATATGACCCCATTGTATGCTCTTTAATAAAGAGTTGATTTATCGTGTGTATGTGTGTGTGTGTGTGAGCCTTATTAGTAATTACTGGGGTGCATATTCAGTTTTGGGGGGATGAGTTTGTATAATCAGATGACTGGTTGCCACTGATATTATATTTTAAACTTAGATTTCCTCTTAGGTCTCTCCAAAGTACAGTTTAATAAACCAAAACTGCTATATCTGTTTTCTTCATAAAAAGGGTTTTTTAAAAATATTTATTTATTTATTTTTGTGTAAAAGAACTGGGATGTAGGCCAGAGACTCCAGGGGGTGTCTCATCAGAGACAGAGTGGGGAGCAGAACAGTTGGACTTACTGAAACACACTGCTGAAGGAAGCAGAGGGCAAGACAGGAGAGATCTGCTGTGCCATGTGGGTCAGCTACCTGGCCAGGGACCAAACTCAGGCCATAGGTGTGATAGTACTAAGACTAAACCCCTAGACCACTAGGGAGGCCTCATAAAAAGTTTTTACCAACAGTTTTACAGAGGCCTTTTCTGAGACCATAGAAAGCATTTCCTACAGTAGCTCACATGGAAGTCACAGATGGCATTATTAATACATTCCTA